TTGATGGTCATCTCGTTTAGTTTGCGGTAGTCTTGTACGGGTCGAAGCTTTCCATCCTTTTTCTTAACGAAGAAGAAGGGTGAAGCCATTGGGGATTTGGAAGGTCTGATCCTTCCTGATTCTAGGTTTTCGTCAAGGAATTTGTCTAGTTCTTCTTGTTCTGCTGGATTGAGGGGGTAGACTTTGCAGTCTAGGCTCGCGTTCGTGTTGGGAATTAGTTCGATGGCATGGTCCCATGGTTTCCATGGTGGCAACTCGTCAAAGTTCTCTTTTGCAAACACGTCTCGGTATTCCCGGTATGGTCCCGGTACTATTTCCTCAAACGTTTTTGCTTCCTTGGCCTGATTGGCTTTGGCGGCTAGCTCATTTGCCTTGCTTCCCATGGCTCGAACGTGCAAGGCTTCTTCGAAATCAATGATTAAGATGGTGTCTCCCTCCTCTACTTCCGTTCCCCAGTGTTGTTCAGGATCTTCGTCTGGCAGCAGGAATGGTATTTTGCGGCACGAGCATCGTACCAAGGACACGGCGCCCATTTTCCAGTCAATGATCGGGTTATGTCGTTTAAGCCAGTCATGACCAAGGAACATTGGCACGTTTCCTAGGTCTATGACTGCGAGGTCCAGTTTTTCATGGTGATCTCCGATGGTCATTCGGAGTTCTACTACCTCGGTTATGTCTCCTCCTTTATTTCAGCTTCCGTCCGTGTTGTAGACAGCTTGTGCCTTAGCCAGTTTTACTGTGTTGAGTTGGTGTTCTTGTACGAAGGACCGGTTTATGCAGCTGCCGGTGCATCCGCTGTCCACCAAGGTGTCTACCGCTCGGATTTGGCTAGTGTCTAGCATTTCGAGTTGTACTCGGACATTGACGCTCCTTCCTCTTCCTCCTCGAATGTATTGGGGTGGGATGCGCAAATCTTCCATGTTTTGTAAACACTGCTCCCGTTGTTGGTACGCCTCTCGAGGGGATCTGATTAGGTCTAGGACCAGGTCTTCGTCTACCTCTATCAGGCGTCTGGGGTGTACCCACATGCGAAGGGTTGCGAGTTTCCCTTCCATGGTTTTTTCCTGCCTCATTTTCCTTCTAACCCATTCTGCGCTGTGTGGTTTTAACCACCCTCGATCCCACTTGTCATTGTAATACTCTTCCTCTAGTTTGGTTACTTCATAATCCTCCGGGTACTCCTCAGTGTGTATCACCGGGTCTTCCCCTTTTGCTTTCTTGAGGCTTTGTTGGTAACTGTAGTCGTCTTCCTCATTGGGTATCTCTTCAAGGGAAACAGTATTTTTATTTGGCATAGGAGAAACACATAATGGGCCCACCAACCCGCCCACCGAGGAACACAAGCCCTCGGTGCCATTATGTGTTAGTGATGAGGGAGGTAAACGCACCGTTATGGTTGGGATGGGGTCCCCGGTCATCTTGACTGTTCTTTGCGGGGCAGCGGTTTTGTTGTTGGGGATTCACGTTCCCTCTTGCAGCTCCATTCCACAATGAGGGCAGCCGGTCACTCGTGGCTGGCACGTACATTCCACCCCCGAGTGGGGTTCTTCACTGCTCACTGTGGGCTCGGCCGCTCTTCCTCTGTTCCCCGCACTGTCATCTGCCCTCGATGGAGTGATGTTGATCCCGGGTTTCCCACCACCTTTCACCGTACTAACGGTTTGCGCTGTTTTACCAGCACCAGTGGCCAAGGAGCTTGAGTGGGGTTCTTCTTCGAGCACGGTGGAAATCCCCTGTACATCGTTCCTTTTATGCGACTTGTTAATTTCATTTTGTGAATGCGTGAAAATAGATGTATTGTTCAGAGATACACTAGATGAAATTAAGTCCTTAGCCAATGCGCATTTGTCGCTTATGCCGCCGGCTCGTCTTTTACCTCCTCGATCTTCGATGTGGAAGCCTCCTGCTCTTTGTCTCTTAGTACTTGTTGATACATGGCCCGGACTTCTGCGCGGGAGAACTTGGGTTGGTGCTTGACAAGCCAAGTGCTTTCGTCCTTTGGGCACTTGTTGTCTTGCTTGCGATGCCCCTTGTGACCACAGCGGAAACAACGCCCTTCCTTTCGAAGGCGGTCTATTTCCATCGGCTGCCCCTGGCCCCCGTATGTGGTGCCAGTACTGGTCTTCTTGTCGTTCTGGGCATTTCCCGAGTTCCCCGTCTTCCCTTTATTCTGTTGTCCCTGGTTCCCCGGCACCTTCCCTGCGTCTTCTGCTAGTCCCACGCGATAGTTATAGTCCATTTGTTCCACCCGGAACTTCCATTCGGTATAGGTGCATGGCAACGCGGTGCCTGTAGCGTGTATAGCTGCCTTTATGTTTTTCCGGATGGCCGGCTTTAGGATCTCGATCATGTACTCTTCATTGTGGCGTTTCCTTGCTTCTCGGGCTAGCCTTTCGAAGTCCCGGAAGAATTCTTTCGCCGATTTGTACGTGTTTTGTCGCAGACGCTTGAACTCTTGTAGTTTGAGTTCTACTTCTGCGTCGGTGCGGAACTGGTCCTCGACGATCTGTTTGAATACATGATAGGCCAGATATCGCAAGTGGTCGCAAGTGGGATCGTAGTAGTCATCCCTAGCATCATTCCACCAATGTAAGGCTTTTCCTGTAAACCGGAACGTGCAGAATACAATTCTGCTCGGGCTTTGGCCATGTGTGTTCATGGTGAACTGCTGTGGGAATACCGCGAAATAGTCTTCGCATTGGTTGAAAAATCTGTCTACGTCATTCGATGCCCCTGAGAATTTCTCCGGTGGTTCAGCCAACTGGGGTTTTACTTGTCCCCATGGGTTGGTGTTCGCCGTTCCGACTAGGAACGGTGGGGGCGTGGTCGGTGGTTGTACTGGGTTGGCAGGGGATAGGGATGGCTGTGGGTCATGGGAGGGATCATAAGGCTGGGTTGTGATGTGGAGATACTGGGGGCACGGGTCCTGCCGGTGCTGGTCTTGCTACCGGTATAGGTGCTGCTGCGGCCACGCTTCCAGGTGTTCCTGCCGCCGTGAATAGCCGGCTAGGGTCAACGTACCCTGTCCTTCTGAGGATTGATAGGTGACTAAGGTCCACCGTTTCCTCGCTTTCCGTTTCCGACGGTGCTGGTACTTTGTACCATTCTCCTGAGTCGGTGTAGTCGTCTGGGTGCACTTGGTTCCATAGAAGGTTTGTGTGGAAGATGGTCTCCCGATATAGTACCTGGCTTCCAATGTGATTGTTTTTGTTGTTCTGGAAATGGCGGCCTTGCAGGGATCCGTTCCACGAAATCTCTCTTGGCAGCTTCTTTTCTGTCCAGTGCAACATTTCCAAATATGTCATATTGACTAGCTCGGCCTCAGTAGGCTCCCGAGCTAGATCCTTCCACGAACTCTGGTATGATGTCTTTGTCTCCATACTCCCCTGCCTGGTGTAACTGCTCCAAATCGAAGGCAGCCCGATTCCAGGGTTCTCGTAGATTTCGCCTTCTTCTAAGTCTGATGGGTCAGACTCGCTCGAAAGGCTCCTCGCTTCCTGTAACAATTCTGTTCCAGTTTCTGATAATTTGGGCCCACTCGTTGACCCTGAGAACGACTTGATCGAAGTCTGGCCTTCGGGGTCGGTCCCATACCCAGGGGGCAATGAATGGGACGGGGGCTGCGAGGGGGTGTTTGGGCACGAGTGGGTAGATGGCAAAGGGGACGACGGAGGAAGGGGGTTCGATTCCTTCAAACATGAGCCATGCATCGGCATAGTCCTGTATTTGTCTGCATACATCGCAGCTGGCGTCGGCGTCGTACGTGGGCTCGCATTGGTCGAGCTCGAATAGTTGCTTCCCCGGCCCTATCGTTGATGATGATTGGGGTGTTGGGACGCGTGACGAGGTTGAGGTAGCTTCCCTCATCAGTCTGAGGAATCGTCACGGGCGTAGTAGTAGCCCCAGGTCTCCCCTTGTGAGTCCAGCCTTGGGGGAGACCAGTTGTTGCGTGGCCCTGGGAGCTCGTCACTGCTACTGTCCTCCTCTGTGCCACTGCTTTCTTCATCTGAACTGCTTCTAGTTCCATTTTCAGCCGTTCCTCTTTCTCCCAGATGATATCTAAGCCCTCTTTGATAGAGGCGCTGTCCGTCTGTATCATATCCAGGGTTGGCGGCTGAGTTCTCGGTTGAAGTGGGGGAAGGGGCGTTCCAGGGGTCACTTCCTTCACTTTCCCCTTCACTTTCTTCCTCAGTAATGGGAGAGAGAACACGCTCGTCCATCCCCCTTTCGTAGACTCCTCGCTCTTCTTCTTCTTCAATGACTGGGCCTCTTTGTGCAGGCCATCCTTCCACTTCAGAGTTGGAGTCTGTGTCCTCTGTGATGATGTCATCATCGGTGATGAAGATGAATCGGTAAATGACGTTGTCTGGAGGGGCGTAGTCGGGGGGGGGGGTGTTTCCGGTCGTCTAGCCTCCTGGTTGGGGGCTTCAACGGGGATAGCTTCTTCGGGGACGAGCCCCTCTCTTCTTCGGTATTCGTATCCATATAGGAACGTAAGATAGGCTATGGCGATGAAGCCTTGTAGCCCTATGAAGTCAGCGATGGTTTGTTCGATAGGGTTCATTCGTTTGTCTTCATCAATGCTGGCGTTGGTGAAGAGAGAGAAAGTCTCGAACTAATTGTTAGTGACCGATTACACAAACAAGATCAAACAACTAAGTGTGACTCGCACTTCGGTCAGGCACTTTATGTTGCTTGCAGGTTTGTGTGCAGGGAGCTTCCGCTTAGTTTAGCGAGAGTGAGTTCAGACTAAGTTATCGGGTGAATAAACTTTAGTTCGAGACTGAGGTTTAAGACCTACAGTTGAGCTACTTAAATACAGTTTGGGTCATGCTAAATATACTACAAGAGTCTGCAACAGTGCGGTAAACACACTAAACCCTCATGGGGAATGCGATCAAGTCCGGAGAATTAGCATAGTAGGATTACGAGAGAGAGCCGATAAGATAAGATAGAGCACGAAATCGTAATACCACGTGCCACTTCTGCAGCACCATGTATCAAAAATAACGCACACGGCATCTGTTTTGAAGTGTGCCCGATGTTACTGCCATGTATTGATGGACCCATTGTTTCGTCAGGACAGCGAAGAGTGCAGTAGTCAGGCTGAATGAGAGACTTGTGAACCACAGTCCATTGATCAATGAATCGGATGTTGTAGGATGAAAATCTAAGAATAGAGTGAGGCCTGAACAAAGGATGTCATTCACGAGGGAACCATTGGCTGCCACATGCTGGATATCGATAAGCTCAAACAGTAGCGATGCTGTGACTTGATCATAGTCAACTTGAAGGCTCTGGGACGTCTGTGCGACAAATGTAGTAACCACAGCAGAGAAAAGACCAGCCTATCCATTCGTTAACAAAGGGAAATTAGATTTACTACTATTCATACTCACGAAAGCTAGCAAAATGTCCAATCCATCCCTCCATCCCTCCACCATCTCAATGTCAAACCCAGTGCACTCTTCAAGGTATGTCCTCCATACCCTGGCAGCAGGACCCAGTTCTTCATATTGCTTGTCTTCGAGGAATTTCTGTTCGTAGTCGAATGGATCATTCCCTTGATTTTCAATGAGTTTCACGATGCTAAAGCAGCAATTAATAACACACACCTTTAACTAAATATTTACGCATTTTCATGCCCATCAGTCCTCTACTAGATTTTCTTCTGCAGGACAAGTAGTAGGTCGAATTCTCGACTTCAGGCCCCTCATCATTGTCGGGTTGAGTTTTCCCTTCAGCAGGCTTCTTCTGACTTGCATCGTCGGATATGGCAAAGGAAGGCATGACCACAGAAGATAGTGTTATCAGGCAAGCACTGCCAGTACTGCATGATGAAGGCTGTTGAAGGAAGCTTCAGAGAACTCGGTCTGGAGTTCCGCTGTTTTCTTGACTACATCTAGGATTAAATATTCAGCAGTAAATTGCTTTTCAACTTGGATGACACGGCACATAGTCTCTGTGACACCTCAGTTGGTCGTTGGATGTCACAGTGAAGAGCGGCATGTCTGGAAGAGCCCTGCTTGGAAATATTGGTGAGTGGTTTGGAAGAGACAGTACAGGGCTCGACCATGGAAGGCTCGGGAAATGGATAGCGCTGTGACAAGGGAGTTGTGGTGGTCGCTGAGCTCGTCGATGATGTGCTCAATGAACTCTAGGAGAACATCGGCCATTGTCACCTTCTGTGCATTGAGAAAATCATCGAAACAGTAATCAACCTACTGTTCGAAATGTGTTGCTACAGAAATGAGATTAGAAGGTGCGTACAGAACTGCAGTGAACCCGGAGTCGTGGTGGTCGATTGAAAGAGCTGTGGCGGACATCGCAGACCCTTTGTCCGTTACCACCGTGCTCTTCCTCGCTCACCACATCATCAACTCTTTTGTCGGCACTTGATACTCGAGCAGGATGCTGGGTGAAAGACGTTGAGGGTGCTGTATCGTGGTACACCTCTCATTCTTCTCCTTTGCACAACATTGACCTCTGGTTGACATTCTAGGCGACGGTGACTACATCTATCTGGGATCAAATAATCAGCAGTACATTGTTTTTCAACTTTATGACATGGCGCATGGTCCCTGCGATGCCACAGTTGGTCATTGTTGGATGTCACAGCCAAGAGCAGTATGTCTAGAAGAGCCCTGCTTGGGCACCACAGAATGGATATTCTGACTCGGCGATATTATTATCATCCTTCTAACGTATCCAGGCTATTCACTCTGCATATATGCGGAACCAATGAATGACAATGACCATCTTTTGTGCCACTCTTGATATGTGAATGCCCACTATCTATTTCCTGAACAGTTTCCACATACGTAGATCTGATTTGGGTCATTGCCAAGGTACTGAATGTTATATAGACTCCAGAACCTTCTGGGTGCACAGTTTCCTCTCTGGAGAGCTCAAGACGGTGGCAACTTCTGTTCAGGACAACAACCTACCTTCTACCTCACCTCTATGCTTAGGAATGGAGTTACGTGACCAAATGTGTCAAGATGTTTTCGTTGGGTATTGCAGAGAGCTGGTCTATGGAGTCACGGGCAGCATGAAAAGTGGATTTTTCAGAAGGGAATATAATCCTTCCAATGGTTTCGTTGTGGAGATACCACAGCAATGACTCAAAGCACCTGTATGCCTTTTCAAATCCTTTCATTGCTCTGTGTTCATGTCCCATACGTTGCTAGGTCCTTGGGAATGGCGATCAATTTGGTACTGTGCCCGCCAAAGAACCGAGGGCATCCTACTTATGGATTGCACATACAATGGCGAACACTCAGATTTTGTTTGCATCATCATCGATGTATTGAGTGTTACCTAGATTCCTAATCTCGTCAGCCATTTGGATGGCTGTAGGTTCCGCTCCATAATGGCATACTCTAGTAAAGTGGATGTTCCTTTTGGCGACCATATATGCAGTCAGGCATGGAAAGCTCTGCAGGCAAAAATGATGACACTTGGCTGCAATTTGTGGAAGGGGCATAGTGCCGTTGACATCAATCTGGCTGTGCAAGGATCCCGCCCGTTCGAAGATCATGTGTCTCTTTTATTCGTGGGATGGGAGCTTTCTAGTAAGTAGTCAGAATCTGATATAAATTGCGAATCTAATATATCACTATTCAGGATAGACGTGCCTATTGTCTTTGATAGTTGGAACCCGTTCCCTGGAAATGAACCTTTGAATGCGGATTGATGCCTACACTGAGGTCAAGCATAGCTTCATCAGCTGAGGAAATTTCCATTTCCATTAGTCACCGTCTCTATCACCCCGCTCTCCAATTCACATATGAGTGATGACTGGTGATAGTTCTGTCAAGGAGCTTTGATCCTTTTCTCAATTCAATGCACCACCAGGCAAAAATAGGTTCTCTGCTCTTATTATTGCAAGAGTTCTTGTGGTCGACAGAACCATGATGCCTTCCACGTGTCTCTTGTGCAAATATCTCACACTCGACTTCACAATCGGACGAGATAAAGCTCCAAGGTTTCTGTTTTCCAGACAGCCGGCACGAGGTTCACAGAACTTGGTCAACTCACTGTGAAAATTGGCTATCGTGGAATCATCCCTGTGGTGTCCGGGAGCATCCCGGTTGTCAAGATGGCTGGTTCCCCCTTTCCCCCAGCAATGTCATTCTGTTTAACCTCGGTATTCGAAGACATCCATTCAATCAAATTTATGCGGTACCAATACATTCACATGCGCTGATCTGCCTACCTTACCAGTTCCCTTCCTGGAAGCTATCGGCCAGATTTATTGTTGTTTTATGTCCCAACTTTCCCCTTTCCTCATAGGTGTTCATTCGTACTCGGCAAGGAGAAAACACTTCAGGGAAGTGAAACCCAGGTAACATCACTCACTCTGAAGACAGCACAGCCCATCACAGTGACTGTTTCACAGGGAATCCATGGTCAGCCTTTGACGAAGGCAGGAGCTATCCCATGGGGACGGCGGAGAGCTTGGGATCTTTGCTTAGACCTCCGTATGTTTGCATCCAAGGCTTGATATGAATCATCAGCTTAGTCCGTGACGGTCAGCTATTGATCTCTTGGTGGAACATGCGTGTTCTAAGCAGAGTATAAAATGCGATGTTTTCGTTTCTCTCCACCGTCCTCAGATACCATGTGCGTCATTGGACGATGCTGCTTCTGCTCGGCGACTATCTTCAAGAAGCTTTGTTTTTGCAACCAAGTCTTGGACGATATTGCCATGCTTTGTTCAAGCTGCCAAAGTTGTTCGTGATGCTCCCCCGCAACCCCAGTGTCATGGTCTAGGTATGACAGGTATTGCTGTAAATGAGGCGGTACTGACACTCAGGAAAGTCTTAATACTGAAGGTGGCCTTACAGCAGCTCTTGGAAGCGAAACTACCAAGCTGCTGATCATGGGATCGGGGTACAAGAACCGCACATGTCCCATCTTCACACCCGAGACCATCAACCACATGTCTGAGGCAAGTAAGCCCATATTCCAACCAGCCCTTGAAACTTATTCTGGAGCACCTGCACGCATAGCATGCCCAGTCTATCCCAAGTCTTTTACTGTCCTGTAGAATCTGAGGTTCACTATCTCGCTGCAGACCATCGTGGTATGTCATCAGTTCACGAGTGTAAAGACTTCCTCACACTTATACAGTACATATTTCTCACAAAGCCAAACCTTATATGTCTACATCAACATGATAGTTTTCCATACTACTTCTTGAATGTTTAGAGGTGGAGCGATAGCCCTTTTGCAACATAATTTGCTGTGCACTCTCGCCTGCTTCGATAACTTATTGAAACTCTCCGTGTCACAGTCAAGGGATAAGGCTAGCACCATGACTCCACCTCCCTCAACCAGGACAAAACCTCCCTCCCTGCTCACTGAAAGAATTACAGGAGAACCCAGGACATGCGATGCGGCCAGAAAACTTAAAATCCAGATGATTTTCAATGTCTCAACAGTGACCTAAGCCAAAAACAGTACCAGTCATTGCTCGTCCATCAAAAGTCCTTATTTCTGACACCGCCTATAACATAAGTCTCCACAACAGACATCTAATGTCGTTCCGTGGCCTTTTCCGCCTATGCCTCCATGCACAACGAGAGGCTGCACAGAAACTGAGCCTGCACATCATTTTCCTCCCCTGCGGTAGATAGGTAGGTAGGTAGCATTACACGGCAGTGTCCACACAGTGAACACCGGTTCCAGACATTACGTACACAGTCACGGCAGTACGTACTAGTAGAATTTAAGAATTCCAAAACTTCGGGACGTTCTTATAATATGAATATGGCTAGACGCTATACGTTGATGCGTAAGCATTTACAGTGCCATTTTGGATGCCACAAAGCTGTTTCTCATTTTCAGCCGGCCAATCAGACTGAACGTCTGTTTAGCTTTTGAGCCCCCGAAAGTGACCTTTTCTTGGTCGAGCTCATGCTGTGAAATGTGCCCCATTCTTTCTCGTAGCTCCAGACAGAAGGCGCGTACTCCACAACCCATACCTTTTTGTCAAACAGTCAAATCACTGCTTGCTATTTTGTTCTTATCCCCACTGTGGAGGCGTTGAACCGGCTGATAGGCTCACTCAGGAGATTGTCATGAAAGATGTATCTGAAGGACAAACCAGGGAAAAAACCATGGTTTAATCAAGGTTTGCTGCCTTGGCAAAAGCCCCATCTCACTTTGTGACTGTCTGTAGGATGACACTAGAGTGACCTACAAGTTGGGTGCGATCCACGTGAACAAGCAACGTCCTTCTTGGCCTTCGTCAATGATCTCATATCGACCACCATTTTGTAGCAAGGCACACTAGTTACGTTCTGACTTGCATTGATGGGGTAGGTGGCCGTTCCGTTAGGAGCACTTCACGACATCTATTAACTGTGGTCTGTCACATTCTAGTCATCCTCCACAAGACCGGGACCTGGGTATGAAATTCCGGACTAAAGATTGGTCTCATATGCTCCCATACTACGAACGCTAATGCTCGCTCTTGTGGGTTCCCCACTGTCCATATTACATGATTGGTACACCAATACTATGCGCAATGCGTGTATCACACCGTCCCCTCCCCATCATGTCATCTCCATCTGGGTCCAAATTCTCACCTCGCCACATCTGAAAAGCCTCTTTGTGTGCTGCAAGACGTTGCATACAGCCCTGAGAGCGTTTGCTTTGATGGATGGCTTGCAGATTACCCGGATGACACACGATTCGACACTTTGGCGGCTGTGGACTAGATCCTCGCCAGGAGTTCGTACCTGGAAGTGTTCATGGTCTTCTGAGGCCTCTGCCCCAGGTGCCAATGACCAAGGGGTGAGCATGTCAAAATAACTAGCCAGACGGACGGCCTTGGCTCAGGTCCTCGTTTTATGCCGACCCTTCACGTCTCCATGCTCTCCAGACCTCGAACACCCTCAGAACACTGTCTTCCTGCATGTCGGTATCTCTAGCTGCTCTATGAGCACTGGGATGAGACACCAGGACTGTGGGTGGTATACTTCACCCCATCTATAGGGCTCTGAGAGGTGACCTTACTCAAGCTTGTGCGCTGAGTAGGTCCCCTCCCCTCGACTGGGCGACTCCAAGCTTGTGCGCTGGGTCACTCCAAGTGGTTGTACAGTGTTCAGGTTCAATTGACTGTTGCTGAGTTAATTTTCTTGACTTGCGATACTCATGGGATGGCTGTCTGGATATTATGCCAGACGAGAAGGTTGAGGCTACGACTGGGGATACATCATGTACTTTTTAACAGGAGATAACATCCTTTCTGTTTTTCTTCTGCTCTATAGTCCTTCCATCTGATGATTCATTATTTAAGGTTCATGGATAGGGGGAACTGTACAGTTCTTCAGGTTGTTGGGCTGTTGCTTTAGTCGTCATCTTGACGCAATGACTCACGTGAGGTTTGTTTTCAGACCACCCGCAAACCTCGTGGCAATCTTGTTCTGCCAAGCACTAACGTTGATGGGAGAGACCATCCTACGCGGACTGCAAGTTTATCTTGACACTTTTGGGCCGTAGACCTCACGTAACAGTTTCGCAATGAACATCCTGAAGTCTACAGACCAAATGTATGTGTTTTGGGAAGCTGCTGTGTCCCCTGCCACTCCTTGGCCAGATACTAGAATGGATGAACCAGCATAAATATCTCGGAGTTCATGTTACCTCCTACCAGGATGACAGTTTCTCTGACCATTTTGATCATAACTTATAACGTGGTGAAAGTGGCATCGGAAGTTGATCGGAAGTCACTAACGTCACTATCAAGGTTCATGCTCTTGAACTTGGACATATTTCTCTGCACCGTAAATCGTTGACTTGGAGGAACGATTCCGACCTACTGCTGAGGCTGGGTTGGTAGGGGTAGGAAGTACTACTGGAACAAGTAGAGCACAAACCGAGGAAGTCACTGTGATACACCCAGGCATGAGCAGTGTGACATCATAATCATCGTACTTATCTATAGCAGATCTCACGGCGTTGACGCTGGTGCTGAGAGGCCGTACCTTGCGAGGACGTGACTGTATCAGTGAGGCCCAACGTTCGTTCGGTACCGTAGCGTAGTGGATTAGGTAGGTAATGCACGCGTAGTACGGACTCTGGTTAGTTTCCTTCTTAGGGACAGTGATCAGAATAAAAACTCCATCCATCCATATGGATCTATCCGCAAACAGAGGCGTGCATTGCTTTGTCAAGCGCTCGGAGAATACAAAATTGTTTCATAACCTCTAAATTATAAATTAGGGTCGGTATGACCGGGTATACCTGCGTTCGGCTTGGTACAATACGGCTACCCTTATCATAAGGCACAAGTCTGAAATCTTGAAAGGGAGTAAATGCTTATGAAGACACGAGTAATCAGAACTCAAATTCTTCGAGCCAACTGGATTCTATAATATTTTCCTCCTCGCAGAAGGACGGGCCTGAACGATGTTCGGGTATGCTGCCATGGGGCATCCTAGGAGAAGAAGTATCGTGAGGCATACTGGGAACTGGGTATAGGGATCTAGGAGAAAGGGCCGACTCTGAGTTGATGATCATACGAGGACATGGGTAGTACCTGAGGAAGGGGTTGCACTGGTTCAGCACAATCTTACACCGTCGTGTCCAGATAGTCTTGTCTCGTCCGGGCAAATATTCTTCGTCATATGCGGCGTCCAATGATGGTTCGCTAGATCTCTTCCTGCGCTTTTCCCGCCTTTTTGATACAACCGAAGGACTCGCCGAGAATGCGATCAAAGGCATTTCTGGTGCAGAAATGACGTTGATGAGGCGGTATTCGCATGGTCGATATCGGATGCTAGTGGCAGGTCTCGCGTTGATGCGCTCGAAAAGTAATTCAGCCTGCCTCCAGTGCGACCGCTGCGCTTGTTTCAGCTGTTGTTTATCGTGTATGGTCCGGTCATAGATGAAAACGTTCGGGCTGAACCATCTTTTGAGAGCCATGTCGACGAACCTGACCTTATCGTCGACTATTAAAACAGCAGACGGATCCATGTCGTGACCTTCAAGAAGGTAGATGTGACGCTTCTGCATTTTTCGAAAAGCGCTGTAAATCTACGTGGGGTCAGAAATGCGAAGCAATCTCAGATCAGCACGTACTAAGGTGCGGTCTTCATACGATACCATTCGTGCTCCATCTTCTACACATTTGACTACTCCAATCATACGGCCATCACGAGCCAGACATGCCAAAACTGGAGTAGTCAAATCCAGCGGTTCTAGGTCTCGACACGCGTCTATCATACATTGCAAGGCCAATGACGATGTGAGGTTGTAAGCGTATTCTACTTCTGTGAAGTATATTATGAGTACATCTCCACGAGCGTCTATCACGGTAGTAATACCCACCGACTGGCCTGACCCCGTTCAACAATGCACGCTTCCAGCCGACCTGAAACCATTCGGTCACTTGGAGCTGGCTTTCTTCGATGCAAGGATATCCGGCCAAATATGGAATTTGAAGGAGTCTTTGCTCCTGAGGAATAAGGCGAGCATGGGCGTCCCATGCAATATACAACGTTGCTTGGCGGATATCGTCAAAATCGATAGAATTGAGAAGTGATTCCTACGAACGTAACATTAAGTCTGCTCTGGAGGGCTGAAGAAGCTAAGACACATACAATCAATTCTAGCTCCTTCAAGAGGCCCTCACGCTCTTTGAGAGGAGGTCCCCAGATAATAACTTCATGGTTATTTCTGAGGAGTTGAAACATGGTTCTGCCAGTTCCTGACGCTTCGTAGTGGTCCTGATAGAAGCTGACCTGATCTATGGCGGAGCATAAGCGTTCTGACATCAGTAGCATCAATGAATAGGTAGACTGACCGCGAACAACGATTGCATTCGAGGGAATCGAACGAAGAGTCCCGCCCGGCTCAAAGCAAGTATCATGAATGACATCGTCATAGAGATTTTGCTGGGGATGAAAGTGGCCGGCCATGTCGTCGTCTGTGAGGAGGAGAAAGACGAAGTAGGCGCCCATGCTGCAGACCCCCGCCGTATCGCAGGCATCCAAAACGAATACGAACTCAGTGGATACGTGACGGCTTATCCTATCCAGGTAACGTCTGGCTTAAAATAACACAATGTGCAGGTGGGCGCGGTGGCGGCTAGATATAATAATTGACGAAGTGAGGCAATACCTTCCATTTTTCTGACGGCTGTTATTTTGTATAAGCGCCATATCGTCAGATGATATTAGAAGCGTTTGATGAGCAGGACCGAGAAATTGTGAATGAAACAACATACTGTTTTGTCGTAGCTTTCCACTGCTGGCTTGTCCGAACTTGTGTTCGGATGATTCAAAATAGGCACCGCTACCCGCTACAAGCATTGACAGGGTAGATGCGGATAAGAAAGGATACGCGCCACCATAGGCTTGGATACAGTATGTCCCCGGAATCATATAAGCCATCGTGTTAGGACATAAGTGCTGAACAGGTCACAAGGCGGCAAACAGAGCTTCTAGTAGGGCTTCGCACCGTTACCGTATAGTACGGTTATACGGGTGCCGTCATACGGGTACCGTACCCGTTCCGTCTGGCAAAATACTTTGCCCAGACACGGACGGTATACGGATATCCCGTCGCCCGTTAACAACCGTATAAAGACGGCCGTTATACGGCACTCGACGGCCGTGTAGGTTGTTTAAAAATAACCCTCATCAGATCACGGTGTATATGTGTTTACCATGTGCTCAACATCGTACCACGATGCACTGGCACTGCGATCTCTTCAACGCTACAGCCAGCTCTTGTTTCGCTCACTCACATAAAGCTCTCATTCTTATGGCAGGCACAAATACTTGTTCTTCCCTACTTCTGCTGCCTCTGCCCTACTCCTGTTTCATCCCTTTACTCTCCGCTCATATTTCAAAATACATTGCCCACGGGTGGCCGGTGCATCTGTCAAATATGGCTCAATTTTAACCCAGAGGAGTTTATAAAATAGTACTTTTTTTTCGCAGATTTACCACCCCATTCTGAGCATCATGGCAGATCAGTGCGCCCTCGCCGCTGATGGAAACTTGAAATCCCCTTCGAAAATCAACTTTTATCACGATGTGGACGACGATGTGCCAATGGCAGGACCTGAAGCTGCCTCCAAGCCCCAAGCATCAGGTACGTATCATTCAATGTCTCTCATGCTTTGACTAGTCATTGATCTTGAACAGAACCTCTTGGCCGTGGACAACGTACCGGAAAGGCAGGCCGGATGAAAGACGCTCTTGAGGCTGAGAAGCTGGATGAATACGGGGTCTCCATCAAGCCTGTAGTATTGATGTTGGTCAAGCACTGCCTACATCTAGCTCATACAGCTGTCAATGAACTCTTAGATAGTGCTGTCAAACTGTAAGTGTACTTTCTGTACGAGTAATACATTTCCCTACTACCTTACGGCCGTATTGACGACCGTCACGGCCGTCTATATACCCGTACCGTACCGTCAACCTAGTTCTAAGAGTCTTGACGGTACGGTATACGGACCAGCCGTCGCCCGTCACTGTACCGTGGCTATACGGCCGTATACCGTCGACGGTACGGTGCGAAGCCCTAGCTTCTAGTACCGTTGTTATCAGGGGTTGATGTACTACGGAGCGGGTACTGGTTGATGCATTCCATATCAGTGCCTGAATGTTATCGTGTCGACTTCGAGATTTCTCTGGAGACGCATAAGTATATTTCCTTAGAGTAGGATGTCTGTATGTGGATACCCACGATACCAAGATCGATAAATATTCAATAAAGCATAAGAGTGCCCTCTGCTATCGGAGGTTCATCAGTGACAGTTTCTGTTAAAACGAAGCGACATTAAAACAACATACTAGAGCACAGTGGAGAGCATCACGGAAACGTCTGCCACTCGGATATAGCATTCAAACAAATTTGCATGCGAAGGTCGAAGTAAATAAACGGAGGAAGATCTGGGGTACGGAGTCAGCATTTCGCCAGAAGCCGACATAATGCCTAAAGCTATGTGCTTACAGATGCTCTCTGCAACGCTCGTACACTCCCGGGGAGTAATGGGCCTGGAGCGAGCGAAATTCAACACCACTAAAAATCCTTCTACATTCTGTGCGGACTCATAGGATCGTGACTGTGGGCAGAGCTGATATGTCAATAAATGAAGCGGTGGTAGCGAAAGAATGTCGCCAAAAGCAGGCTGAGCATGTGAATGGATGAGGTACTTATAACTATCGAGTGCATGTAAGTTTGGGTTCAAGCTGTGATCATTGCCTGCGGAACAATTAGAACTTGAAACCACTAAGTAACTAGACTTACCACTCTGTCACTCTTCTGAAGTCCGATGAAATTGTCGTCTTGAATTTGCGCGACAACAAAAGCCAGATAGGGAAATCAGAGTGTTCTCACGTCGAAAGCGATGCCACGAAACTTTACCAGTACAAGAACCTGGAATGAAGTAGGGGATTAAAAATACCCGGAAAAATCGGACACATGCGCACCAAAACTTCCCAAAGATAAAACTGTCTGAAAGGCCCAAATGAGAGGAATTAATGTATCAATATAAGTCACCGGTCCAGAGGGGTGTTGCAAGGTCATGTTGGAACTTGGAAGTTGTCGTCTTGGCCAATGGGTATAAGGAAGGAGATCGAAGAGGCGATAATTTGTAACTGATTGACGAGTCCCAGTCCTTCAGATGAGAGTATTGGCGCCTGGTCCAGATGAGAACTCGCACCAAAAAGCATGAATGCACTCGGTGTTCGGTACACAGCTGATTAGAAGTGTCTATTGAAGAGGAGCACATCATTCAGCGCGCCTATTGTCGCTGAGGCTTGCACCTCGGGTTCGTCAAGCAGGAGGCTACCACGTCGCCGTGGGCCCCTGCTTGTTCCTTCTCATTTTAAGGCGCTACGCTGCCTTCGTAATTTCTTTCAACCGCCTCTCCATAATGCACTGTCTTCATCAGTACTCCCAGTAGTACTGCTATGTTCCAAGGATCAGCTTCGCGTACACTTCTTTGATGAGATGAAACCTCGAGTCTCGACGAGGGAGTCTGTTTAGAACGTCGCGCGCAGGGAGACAGGATGAAAAAAAAAGGAATGAATTCCACTGCTTATTCATTAGTGATTTCATTGATTATCCTTGCTAGTCCGCGATATCGATAAGGAAGCGTTGCCAACAGCCAAACCTTCTCGTCAACAACAAGTCAACAAGGTCTTAGTGAAGCGGGGAAAAACATCGGCCAAAGGCCACATAAATCCTTCGGGGAAGTTGGAAAATTTCCTGGGAAGAGTAGAGACAGTTCTAATGTCCTTGTATTTAAGTCAATGTTAGAATGAAAGATATCGCAACGCACCTGAGCGCATTTGACACGGTGCCAGACACCTGGGTTGTTGTAACAAGCTCCACGCCAGCTATTTCCGGGAAAAAGAACGACTTTGTCTTTACATCTGTCGTCGCCCAGTGACCTGGATAACAAGAAACTTAGGAGACGTTGGGTACTTGGAAGTTGTGAATGAACGAGAAGTCAAGCAACCGGTAAGAGAGAACCCGAACCAGGTAAGCTGGCATCGACGGCAAACGCCGAGGAAAAACCTAACTCCGAGTCCACGCTGTCTCAATGCCAGCTTTTAAACACGTACCTGCATCTGCTGTTGCTCTAAGATGGTGTACGACAATAACGCAGTCATAGGTATGCACAGCTAGGTCATCTCGAAGACTGCTGATCGACTTAGCTGTGAAGAGAAAGAAAAGGTCGGATTCCGCCTACTCGAGACTCGGGAGTAGGTCCTTATGGGTCCGACGTCCTTGCGTCTGAGCTGATGTCCCTGTATAATTTCTCCAGATAATATTTGGTAACCGGCCAGGGTCCCAGGCCAAGGCACCCATCTGGTTGATCACATCAAGGACATATTAGCGTTCCCATGTCTCCATGTCACTGGCCCTGGCCCGATTAACATATCATTACGCCCCTCCGCCAAGTATAATCGTCAAGAGTGCGATTTATGTACGCATACTGTACAACTGAACAGTAAATTAGACCCTCGCCGACCTATTGCAAAACCGTCCGATGGAGTACACGAAGAATAATCGATAAGGATCGCAAGAAAGCAATAATAAAACAGAATACATTTTTAAACACAAGAGATCTCGAAATCTAAGGGCGCAATGTTAAGTAAATGTGTAGAGGATTCTCATGCGCACTCATAACACTAAGCCTAGGTGTCGAACGGATGACTTGCATCGGACGCGAATCAACCGCGACGACAACCTGGTTTCATGGACAAGGGAGACTGCTGAAAGACGCGCTAGTCAAGCTTTTTACAAGCCGTGTAGGAATGGCTTTTATATGGGAAAGCGAAGTGAGTTGAAGGAAGGAAAAGAAATAGAGAAAAATTATTTCAAATAGAACGTCAGAATTATGACGTCTACGCCATCGTGATGACAGAAACTTCGTCGACGTGAATAACTAAAATGAAGAGGACAATAGGCAGGCAGATGTAATGGCCTACTCGCTAGGAATAGATGATGATGAAGCCAAGGAATGCAGCGGCGGGACGGAAGCTTGCTGACTGTAAGATAGAAATAACAGAGATGGTATGAGCATATCCATATGCTCGAAGTTCGTGGCGCTGTCGGCACGACTTAGAAGTCTACAAATGTTATCCTATGTATTCGGGCACTAATAGTAAGACAAGAACATGCATCTCAAATGGATTCTACAGCTGTTTAGAGCTACCCCAAGCCAAACCTGTTATATGTGGGAGGAAGAAATGAGAATAGGTAGAGGGTGGTGCACCCAAAAAAAAACTTGCCTTAAACCGCCGCAGGGTTACGAAGGATCTTGCGTCGCAGAGCTGGATGGGTCTCGCCTAACCCTGAGGTTGTGCCTATAGATGGCTCATCGATATCTCCCAAAAGTAGAGTGTGCGTGCGGACTAGCTTCTCGTCATGCCCCCAAGAAAACTCACAACCAATGTGGTTGTCGAAGGTCTTGACGACGGCGGCGTCGGAGAGTAACACGTGGATCCATCCTCGGTACTGCTGGCAGCTCGAGCAGAGTATCAAGGCGTTGTCCACCACCTTGAGGCATAGGCAACCCTCCGAAGATGTTTCCCGAGCAAAAAGAGCACCTAGCAGTGATACACATGAGAATGGTTGGATAATGAGAGATATGGGTACATACCTGAGCATTCAGCTTTTATATCTCTCTTGAATCGAGTCACCGGTCACATCGTCATAAAATGCCGCAAATTTCGTTCCATTCCGCCCGACCCCAGCACGCCGACATCGCCATCACCACCAGACGAACGATAACCGACTACGGTGAGAATCGATTTTTGGTCGGCCGAAAGACATAACGCTTTCCTAAGATATGTCTGGAACATCCGCACCCATATGACTCGACTGTTGGCTGGTATCTACTGTGTCGAAACGATCGCTGATAGTTTTCGTAGAATCGACTGAGTCTTGTTCGGCCAAAGGCAGAAGCAGTTTACAACACTGTGTATGCGGGCTCTAAGTATCTAGGTGAGACTATCGAAGAAGATGCGAAAACTCACCTTCGGGGCGATGCTCAGTTATCTATCTAGATCTTGGTATGGGGCCGACCCGCTTGGTTGCCTACGGCCGGTAATGAGACCCAGGATACCCAAGCTGTGCGCGGTATGGGCAAAGGGTACGAAACGTAGGAACGCCGCGACACAATAGGCGATTTGCTTCTGAGTCGACGTGAGCCGGATCCTTCACTTGGCCAGCCGCACCACGGGACTAGGCAGAACGCGTCGATACAAGGCCTGCGTTCACCGGTGGCCGAGGAAGGTAAATGGTAGTAGCATGAACATCTCATTGCACCGGTAAAGAGACTCTGGTATCTATGGGAGTCGCGTGTCGACGAGTATTGGTGTTCAAGAAAACGGCTTGTAATTACAGAAGCAGTGACGTGGATCTAGGGCAAGGGTCTAGGATATCGGGAGAATCGGACACAAACAACATCGTAAGAAGGCGAAAACATTTAATAACTTGCAAAAAGGATGCTCAGTGTCGTCCGGTGCCTTTCAGCGCGCTTCTTAGAGAGTCCAATTCATTGTGGTGCCAACAATCACTTGATCAGAAAAAAGCAGGTCTCTGCAACCACGCAGACATCGATGCATTGCGTAAGCTTGACTTGTACAGGGATATGATAGGCCGACTTTTCATGATGTCTTGCCTGCAGAGCGAATTCGAATGAATTCACTAGTGTATAATTAATATCATCATGCTCACTTTCAAACAAGATCGTTGGGAGGTCGGATTGACATGCGTTCACCGTCGTCTTCATGTCATGGCCATCCTGACTGACCTACGCCATCGGGTAACGTAGATAATTCCGCCTGTTCCCATCCTCTGGAGAACGAGAGAATAGCTATTTGACTGGAGTATGAGCAAAGGACAACCATCAGGTGGAGCATGCGGTAGGAGGACCGAAGTGAGCAATAGAGAGCTAATGATGTGTAGGTGTCAGAAAGAAGGAAAGAGAAAAAGGCAAATTCCGCACGAAAACTGAATCCATGCATCATTATGCTGCCTCCGAGGTCCGATTTGCCAGGACCTGACAGGACTGAGGAGCCGGAATGAAGCAACTTGGAGACCATGTTGAGGTCGGAGCTTGCATGTAGGTTCCCAAGACGATGGAATTTCTTTTGTATCGCTGGTTCCAAGCTACAACTTCCTTGCCGTCGTCCAAAAGAGAAAAAGGGTCGCTTTCATAGGTAAACCGTTACCTATCAGCCTGCGATGTTCAGCATCGCTAAAACAGCGAAAATGAAAACACGCACGGAACAGCCTCATTTTCATCCAAATACCCACTTCATGTAGTACGAAATGCCGCCCATCTTGAGTATAATCCCGTCAAGCGTAAAGGGACATTATGGTGGTATTGGAGAGAGTGACGGACTCGGAATTCCCGCAGTTTGCCGGTTGTCCCGGACAGCAACTGCCGCCGCTCCATTCACGAATCTTGCACCGTTTAAACGCCAACGCGGGGGCAACCACCAACAAAGCAAGGTCTGCTATCCTTACAATTGCAATTCCGTAAGCTTGCTTTTGTGCTTTATTCAGCGTATATCTGACCTTTTTTGATGATAATGGCAGTTATATCTGAAAGTTAAATCTATCAGACTCGGACCCGGTTGTCTCCTAATTTCAACGGATTTTATATGTCGGAAATCCCCACAGAGATCATGGAGCAGATAATCGACGAGCTCAGCGATGACAGGGAAGCACTTGTTGCTTCTCTATCTGTCTCCCGAGCATTCCACAGTCGAGCTCGGTACCATCTCTTCCAAACGGTCCGCCTCGAAACGGAATCAGATTTTAATCAGTTTAATTCCCTCTGCGACATCTCGCCAGTAATTTCGAGTCTGGTACAGTCGCTCAAGATCTTTTCTCGCAGCACGGTACCCCAGCTACCCTCCCTTCCTAACGTTACCTCACTGCACATCAGAGGGCATCTCGATGATGTATGGCAGACTAACTTTCTCTCGACTACTGTCCTTATGTTCGAGGATATTGTGTTCTCCACTGCGATGAGCTTTCGCACATGGATATGCGCATATTCGCACCTCACCTCCTTGTCCTTGATCTCTGTTATAATCCATCATCCCGCGGTGGTCGGCGCCTATGCGCTGGCACAAGGTCCTCCTTTGGAATTTCTTTCGATTGCATACGTTAACTACAGCGTATACAAGGCCTTTCTAGGAAGCACGAGCAAAGCGATCAGTCGGTTTGCTCTCCACGGGTTACGTAAAATCCAGCACAAGACCGTGTTCGCATATGATGCTGCTGGAATACATAAAATCCTCGCCGTCACCTGTAGTACGATTCAAGAGCTCGACATGAGGGTACATGTGTTCGGTAAATTCTAAATACTCATGAGCTCGTTTAAACCACTAACTCTTGGTTATTAGACCCTCGGCCGCTGTTCAACGAAGTCCTAGATATCTCACAGGTACCAACGGTCAACTATCGAGTGTCCGGCGTCTCCAAGATCCCTTTCACCAACAACATCCGTTGGCTTTCCTACTGCACTGATGAAAATGACCGTCCTGCATCTATGGAGAGACTCGTTATTCACTTGGACCTGCCGGGTTTCCTAGACAGGTTGACTTTCACTGAATGTCTGGAGCCGCTGGACGCCATACTCACCGATCCTCGGTATTGTATGCTCAAGGTGGTTCAATTTATCTTGGGGGGAAAGGAGAGGCGCTTGGAACATGGGCTCCAGGCCTATCGAGATGATATCTCAATGGCTTTACCCAAATTACATGCCGCTGGACGACTGGTAGTAGAGGATGAAGCAGCATGAAGGACATCTCTATTTTCTCCATTCTGGACATATCTCACGGATCAACATCGAGACGGATAATTTGTGTCCCTCGTCGCGTTATCCATCCTTTCCTGTATGCTGTGGGGAGCTGAGCTAGCGGTGTCTAGTGCTCGGGCTTGAGAAAATAAGCCAGCACTTTGCACGGATGGAAATGCTCGTTGGATATTTAGCGGGGTCGGGCGATCGCGACTAGTTCATATATTCTGCTCATGTAGGTTCTCGGTACGCGTACCTGGTCGTCCTGAAATGTTACTATCAATCGCATAAAATGCCAGGTTCCACAGTGAAAATGATGTTCTTCGACTAGTCTCCAATAAATATCAATACAGTCAGTCAAATCGGCATATATCCCCTGGACATTAACAGCGTACAAATCATCACAAGTGTGCTTCTCATCCTTTGGTCTGCGACCAGGCTAGCCCTTGTTTATAGCTTTCAAATGGGCCTGGCAGTCTGACGCTATTGAGAAAAGGTAGTCTTCGATTATTGTGGCTGGAGTACGCGCAATCTACTTACTTGAACCGCCTCAGCACGTTCTATAACATCATTATTTATGTTCTAACTAAGGATAACCAAGGCGTGGTTTTAGCATCTTTGTTAGAAACGTGGCTGTTCTTTTCATTAATGTGGCCATGAGTAAGTTGAGTTTGGGCGGCTTTGGCGAATTTATATTTCCAGGATAGAGATGTCGGGCGCGCTCCGCGGTGTGAGATATGAGTAGTACCGAGGAACAGACTCCAGAGCAGAGCGAGAGCAAAGAATGAATACGCCTTATGACCACGATAGCAATATAGCAACGCTCGGTGTTTGACTTAGCTGGGGGTATTGGGGTTCTGCACCGTCAAAAAAAGTGCCATGGACCGTACAATACCATGCTGGTGTGATTCCGATGCGAACGTGGACGTCCTACGGTTTTGTTATATTGGGGCAAGGACGAGGAGAAGATGAGTTCAAAGAATCAGTGCATTGAAATCAAGGTTTATGCGGCTACGTTCGATAATCTAATCAGATTCTCCGGCTAGCACTCTCCAGCGATCCCGAAGTTTCTTCAAAAGGGCTTCTAGATCATCATGACTATACCCGGCGCCAACTATCCCGTGAATACTGCTCCGAAAACTTTGCTAGAAATTATGTGAGGATGATAGTCAAATGCAATGACTCAGAATGTACCTTGAACCTATCCGAATGGCGATCCATCTTTTCAACAAGATCCCGCAAACCAATGAGGGGCTTCACCGTTTGATCAATGAAATGACTGAAGGATTTAAGTCGAGCCATGCTGTACTGGAGCTTCTGAGAGAAACCAAGTGTTTCAGCACAGTACTCCAAGCGAGTTTGTTCATCAGGAAGCAGCCGTGAAGCTTCGAGTGTGAAGCTCTTGAGCTCATCCAAGCCACCGTTCATCGACTCAGCCAGGAGCTTAGACGCATCAACTTCCTGCTTCAACACCTCGATCTTTTCATCGATAACATCACGAAACTGTTCTAGCCGCTCTTGCAGTTGTTCAAATGACGTTGAGGAAGGCCGACGCCAGAGCCCATACAGGAGAGGGTCGAGAGTCTCTAGCTTCGAAAGAACATATGGGACGTCAATAAGCTGACAACAGCAACAAGACACAAGAGGAGTACCTGGTCTTTATAAGTCATCAAGGTGTCCCACCCCGCGTCATTCACGGCATATAACTTCGAGCGAAACATGACGGCCTCATTTTTCGCTTGCTGGAATTCACTTGCAATCTTTGACCGAAGTGCTGGTGGAAGACGTTGATCAAAGCCAGCCTCAATAAAGAGTGCATCGAAGAGTTCCATTTCTACCTTGAGAACCTCGAAGACGACACCATTGGAAACGTTAGCGATGTGCAATTTCATTGTGAAAACGTCCTGTGTCTCCGTTTCAATAAGTGCAGTCATGGTGAGCGGGTGGTGGACCATGTTCTCGGATTGTTCATTAGGGAATGGTGCCGGAGAACAAATCCCAAGGCGGTGGCACTGCAAGGAACCAGGACCATCTGCCGAATGCGCCTTTCCTAACGAACTGAGGCCGCCCAAAGTAGTGTTAACAAGGAATGCGACTCCAGCACCCGTTGTCGAAAACGCTGCTCCAATGCCATTGCCAGTGCCAGATATTATGTCGCTGATAGGCTTTAGCAAACAGAATAGCAGTACTGACACGAGGCAGACGGAAAGAGAGCATATACAGACTGCTATCACAGATCCTCTGTCAACGATAACAGGGTCAGGCAGAGCACGAGTGAACTGGCAGTGGCTGGATGTGTGAGGGGAGTGCCGAGATGATTCCGTGGATTCAGATTGGCGCATGAGAGCTTGTTGTCAATGATGAAGTAGAAGGCCGTCAATGCCGACTTGGTCAAGACAGTTACCTCGCACCAGAGTCGTGTTTTATACCGTATTTGTAGAACACAGGGCCAGCGGGTTGTAGCGTCATGGCAATAGAAGAACAACAACAGATACAAGGTCGATACCTCTTGGGAAGTCGCTCCTACATTTCGAGGCGGAAGTAGTAGTAATAGTAGTCGCCGTACTGGCAAACGGTCCCTATCAAGGGACCAGGCAGAGTGCTATGTACTTGGTATACTCCACTCAGAAAGTTCTCCACGGAGTCGTCATGACGATAGCCGAAAGACAGGATCACGTGCGCGAAGTTCGACTTAAGTCTTCAACCATCACTGTCGACATTTCTTTCTGTGATTCCTTCGTAAGGAATCAAGCTTAACAGAGGTCCGTTTACTTTCTTCTGCCGTATGAAGTATGACCTATCCTCTATCTTGGAACTCTGTAGGTTTTTTAATGAACAGATTATTCAGTCTGCCTTCACTGGCTCAAATTCACCGCTTTGGAGCCTTTGTCATTCTCGGAGGGCTGGTGGCATGTTTCATGATAGTTCTTCTATGCATGCCACTATCCTCCTCTTCTTATTGCATCTCTGCCTCTCTACTGATCCGTAATCTTCTCACTGCGGATGCTCTCCCCTGGAATCGTGGCTCATCCTCCCCTCGGCCTACCTGTGCTTCTGAAAAGAACTGTCTTAATTCCACAACGTCAGCTGCCGTCATTAGCGTGCACCTCCAGCATACGCACTTTATGGTAGACTTGATCGAGGGGTCAGGTCTGCCTCCTGGGGCGTTCTTTGATATTGACGGATCGTATGTAGATTTTTCTTCCGTGTCGGCATTTGATGATCTAATTACGATCATAGCGTGTATTTTAATGCCTCAAGCTTTGCGCTTTTCTCCCCGGCCAATCATGCAAAATTTGAAGACAGCAAGGCCAAGTTCCTTACCGATCTTCATGTATTATGCAAATTTCGACTTGGAATACATGGCCAATATGCAAATTTCCTCTCAAGCACGTTCTTGCGGTATTTCTCGCCTCTGAGCATGTCCCCAGTCCTTAGTCCTGTGAGTAAATCTTCACCTTTGGGTCGCACATGAATACTCAGTACGAATGACGGTGATTGTCTCTCCAGTTTGAAGTTGCGATTGAACACCAGAAGACAGCGGTAGAACGTGAACGCTTCAATGGATATTCCACAAAAGCAATGCGTGATTATCATGCTATCGAGGTCGACCGCATTCTGAGCCGCTCGCTTGATCAATTTCTCACCGATCTCAGTGTCGCTTACCGTGACCTGGCGGCCGAAACTCCGCCCATCATCAGCTACTTTACCAACATTCACACCTATGGAGAGTCTGTTGCGAAAGAGCTGGACATCCAGATACTTCGAGCGGACGAAGCCTACCGGAACATTCCTTGGTGGGATTCTCGTCCAATTCTAAACCTTTTCGTTGAGGGCGCATTAAACATAAAACCACGACTTCCTATCCACAAATGAACATGATATTCGGATTCTTGCAGAACATGCTGCAATATTCTATGACCATTTAACAGTCTTCGAGCGCTATGCTCAATGGTATTCTAAATGTTTGACGAAGGTGAGAGTTCTGAAGCCCTTGCGCTTTCCCATCACATATCTTACTGTTACTAGACTAAACGAGCAGTACCATTAGAGCCGTCAGGCTTCCCCACCGCCGCAGAGCTTTGTAGCTCCTTGGAGCACCTCAGGGAACGCCTTGAATCCATCTTTGCTTGGGATGGCCGTAATACTCCCCCCCGCCGGGTGACAAATAGGCCTCCTGTTTCAATTTTCGACGATGATTGCACTGCAGAACTCTAGAAGGATATTCTAGCCTCGCAATGAATCAATTTCTTAAATTTTCATGTGTTTCTATCTTGTTATGACCTCCTCGTCGAGCTCATGAGTCTCCAGTATCATCGTACCAGCACCGAGACTCCTCTTACCACTAATGAGCTAGCCAAGTCAGTGCGAGATCTCCAGGCTCGGCTTGGTCCCTCTTCCTATGGAGATCATCTGAGTATCCAGCCTCGTCAGTTGATTGACTCGCGCCTTTCTCTTCCTTCCGACAATGATTCATCTGTGGACAGACTATGATACTATGTGCTTACTAGTGATTATGGCTCCCCATTTTTTTCGCACTCCGTCTATATTATCATATATCGTACTTTCGTAGTCTTATCAACACCACACCACGCTTTTTCTTCTAGGAAGCGGCATCTGCGAACGAGCACACACGGAGAAAATAACAATAAAGTACCAAAGAACATGTATTATCGGGTGGATCGCAAATCTGTCACGACCATCCTGAATGGCAAATTGCAACTTTAACGAGTACTTATTTATGCTTGACCATGCCGAAGAATCTTGAACAATATATAATTTGAGGCGGTAGTTTAACGAAACGAAACAAGAATGGTGAAGGGACGATCAGAAACAAACTTGTGAACAGTACCACCGGAGTGGATGTAATAACCTACGCTTCACCAGTCCTGGCAATTCCAAAGCGCACGGATGACAAGCGGCTGCAGTAAAATTGATACCTCGTGAGCCAATTGAAAAGATGACAATTGTAGACTAAACGAAAGACGTAAAAATGTAGAAATGTGTAGCAAAAAAAGGGTAAGAACGAAAAGCCTGAAAAAGAACCAGGAATAGACGACGACACCAAGTGGGATTCTATAGTTAGAGAACTGCAAAAGTGAAATGTGGAGTCGGTATAGTTTCTGAGAGGCTCTACCGTCCATTTTGTGCACAAATGTCCTGTAGTATCAGGGAATGGATTTGTGTACAAATCCCTGTAACTACAGGACGCAAGATTTGTGCACACATCAGGGACTGGCTTGTACACAAGCGCCCAGCCCATGCACAGCCACATCAAAGCTGTCACGCTCGATTTTTCCCACCCTTCCCTACACCCTACGCTCCGCCCTCCCGCTCGTCATTGCCCGCTCTGCGCTCTTTCCATTCCCCTTTTGTATTGGCTTTTATTTTTGGCTCGATCGTAGTATCATCGTACCAATTTGATGGGATCTCTGTGCCTGCAGACAGCCGCCATCCTCGATCTATCCAGCTCGATCCGATCTTCGACTGTCACTTGTGCCTCACCTCATCAACCGTTCAATCTTATATGTTGTTCTGAGGTCTCCAAAAACATGTCATGGTGCAGCTGCGTATACTCAACAAGAACATAGGTTAGAACTGGCCCATAAACCAGCTAAGCACCAACCAGTTGTATATACACTCACCACGCTCTCATCATGGCTCTCTGTGAAATAGACACTCAGGTTATAGCAGTCCATTTCAATTCAACGAAAACATTTCCTTTGAGATGTATTAGAGGTTAGAGTATATCTCATCTATCTCTTGACAATCAGTTACGAGCGCTGATGGCTCTCCAATTTTGTGTACAGATGGCTCGCCTGCCTTGTGCACAAATAACCCGCAATCTTATGGCTTCTCGCTGTCCATGGGGGGGCTTCCTGGTTTGTGTACAACTGTGCCTTCTTCCACTGTGAGCTCTGATAGGTCTCTGGCTCTGTACAGACGGCTCTCCTGCACTGTGCACAAATGCCTTCAACTGTTATTATTTCCCACTGTGCACAAGGAATCCTCCTGACTTGTACACAAATCTGCCTACATTGTACACAGGTGAACGGCCTGCATTGTGTACACTGAAAGCCTGGTGCCACATTATTTGGGTAGGTCCTTTTTGGATATATATTGCCCTGCTGGAGCTGTTGCTCGTCCATCTAAATGCCATGCCCCTCGCAGAACAGTTGTCTGATACCACAGCCATCCATGCTACCGATGATGATCCAACATCTGCTGACAGTGACCAGCTTGACATGAGATCACTTTTTGACTTTGAGTCTTTGTTTGACGATTTTTCTACCCCATTCTCACCGTTTGTCTGACACTTCTGTACTATTCACCTTATTGATTACTTTGCCTTGTTCAGGACTGTGCTCTTCTATCATCCCTACAACGATCTACACACCCTCGAAGTGTAAGAGTATATAACTATGCTGTTTTGATTACTCTTGCTCACTCTTTACCCAGCGGAATCATTGGAGTCCTACGCATCCCCGGACTCTACAAATATGCAATCCGGCTGGAATATACCCCTGAACAGCGGCTCTGGCTTGCCAATTGAGGTCCTTGATTTGAACATGCTGTTTGCTGGAACCGGATCCGCTCCTTTTTCCAGCGCATCTGGCATGAATGGTTTGTCGAATGGCCCATTGAACGTGGTGCTACACAAACAGCCAAGGAGTATGTTGGGATTTGCACCTTCAAGCTCATACTAGAAGATTCCCAAAGCTTTGGCTTACTCATTTGTCACAATACTTAGATATATTTAGTACTTTTGGTAGAATATTCTAGATACTTTTCATAGTATATAAGGAGCTCATTAGGAGCTCTAGTAGCTAACAATTCAGTATTATACCTACTGCAAGCCTCCCACTGCAATACTGCCAACAGAGTACAAGCAGATGAGGGCAGATCAGGAACAAAGGAAAATTGTATGTCTTGTTCTGTCTGTCTCGACTGCGCTGCTTATGTTTAACTACCCAGGAAATCTTTACTTTGTATATTATGGGCCTCAAGAATCGCTGGGTTGAGAATGGCCCGCTGCCTGAAAATTGGACCCTGGCAGGAGTGTTTGCAAAGCTCGATGAGCTCGAGGATATGATCACGCAACGGTTCAAGGAAGTCAAACATTATTTTGTGGAGGTGGAGGAGCGCTGGAATCTAGAGGATCTACATATCTAGACTTTGAGTTCATGTACTACACTGCGTGAAGAGCACAGATAAATCCTTTCAGTTACATTTGAATGTTAATACAAAATGGTAAAGAAGCGGTACAAGTAGTACAAGGAAGATATTATTGGAAGCCCAAAGAACATGGTACCTACGATCGATGGCCACGCAAGTCAAGATCCATTGTCGGATCAAAGTCAACTGAAGGTGCCGGCAAAGAGGCCAATACTTCATTCCATCGAGTTGCCACACTTGCACTAAGGTCTGACCAGAGAGTGGCCTGCCTCAGTGCATATGCTTTTGCTCCTGGTAAATCTGTGCAAGTGGCTCGGCCCTTCCACACGCTACTATAATATTGGAAAGTGACTTGAACCCAACGGATCTCCTCTGTCAGAAGATCGCACTCCTCTTGCCATCGCTGAGCACGCGCATGGGACTTGCACCATTCAATGCGCAATGCTTGAACAAAGGCATATCAGTACGTGATTACTATTTCTTTGACTTCAAATTGATTCACCTTCTTGTAGTCCTTTCTCACCTCCCTGGAGGTTTGTCTTCCATATCCATGACAATGTACACTGTCCCTCCAAGGTTGCCTCATTATATGAATCCAAACCACGGACATCTTCTGCCTTCAAGGGAGATAGTCCTGCCTTCCACTCCTCCTGACCTAACACTGTAGATACTGCTTCCAAGGCCATGTAAACCCACCTGTAATGTGCAGCATCTGCTTGTATTTTGGTCTCCACCCTATGCATCAGCACATTTGCTTTGGTCCCATAACGCTGTCCATGGGAAAATCTTTGGCGCCATATCACCAGATACGATTTCAACAGTAGGTGATCATGTAAAGTCGCTAAGGTATTGTGTGCCTGGGTGAGATGCAACTGGCACTCATTGTCGATGATGGTGTTTTGAATGTTGGTTTGTACAGCGTTGAGTCGCAGCACATGAGAAGGAAGGTATAAAGATATCTTGGAGGTATGGACTTCAACACCTGGAGCATGACGATCATCATCCCTAGTGCGTAGTAAAGTAGTTCTTGGCATGTACACCTTCTGTACATCAATCCAAGCTTCGATCTTGTGAGAAATGCGGTTGGCTTGTTGTTGAACTCTAGTACGTTGGAGATTGGTCGAGTGTGCTCCAAGTACAGCCATATCATTGACCAGTTGTATCCTTAAGATATCGTCAGACAAGGGACTTCAAGATGCGCTGGACAACATACTGTGCTTCTTCTAATTGCAGACCCTGAGCAATGAATTTGCTAGGACTAACATCATGGTGAATTTCGATCTTGGTTTCCTGCTTTTCTTCTCTGACCAACTCAAGGCATACTGCATTTTCAGTGACAGCTTAATTTCACATTACATGAGCAAAAGTGGTATCGGCAAGATAGAAGACTTATGATGTAAAGTTGGGGCAAAAGGATTAGGCTGCGAGCGATCCTGCTCCCAAGTTAACACCATAGAGCACTACTGGATGATGGCATCTGCATGTTTGCTTTGCAGAGCATCTTCATAACTTATAAATTCAGCTACATGCTCCACACATGCTTTGAATGCATCCCGAAATTTTTCACAGAGTGTCTGTGCTGTTCATGTTCATCAACTGAAATGTCGAATATGGTAGCAGAGAACAATGTACCCATGATCACAATTTTCCGCCAATTGTAGTCCCCAAAATGGTCATCAAGGGTATCCCAACGTGATCCTGGACCCATTTCCTTGGTGCTATTTGCCAAGGCATTGGTTGCGGCCCATGTTCTCTTGGGTGCTTCTCCATCTGTTCGTCCTACTTTCGCTGAGAAGTTGAAGGAAAAGTCATTGCGACACTTGAGGATATGCACCGGCAAATGGAACTTTGGCACAAGATAGAGTATGTTGTGCTCCAGTTGGCCAGGTTGCAGATCCATTGGATATTTGCTGATATATACAAAAAGGTTCTTGTGCCACTGGCATGTGATATCGTATGAAATCACAAGGTCAGGTGGCATATCACAAGTCAGGGTTGACAAGACGAAGTAGTCCATGTTGATGTACCTAGGCAGGACCATTATGAGTACTTGGATCCTTCATACGGAGACCAGACATACCTTTCACCCTTCTGAAGATCACCAACAGATAAAGGACGCTTCATATCGTGGCGACCACATACTACAGCTCTGACACCGGTTGCCGCCACCCCTTGACCTCCATGGCTATTGGCCAGCTTGACGGCATCATGGTTGTTGCAAGTGCTTTTTTCTTCTGCTGGGATAATTTTGCCAGACATCTCGAGAAACAACTGAAAGGAATTTTCCTTGACAAAGTAACCATAGCCACGGTTCAAACTCGGGTCATTATCTTCATTTGATACGTTCAGGTGGTGGAGCCAAAAATTGGCATCAACTGCGAGAAAGAGGCGATACAGCCAATGTTTTCCTCTGGAATCTGATATTAACACTGCACCATGATACTTCTCGATACACTTACAGGTTTTCGTTCCAACCACAGGGTAGATTCACATGAGGATGGGGACAGGCAGGACAACATAGTACCAATTCACCGGGCCTCGTCTCTGCAATCCTGCCAGGTTCATGGCCATGGCCGAAACGTTTCAAAGAGCACAAGTGATGCCACTTGCACATTATCCATAGGAAGGTATCATACTGATCCTAGTGTCATGGTGAGATGTGAGAAAAGAAGCATGGAAAGGAGAGACATACTGGGGGCGTATATAGTCCAGTGTTATCCGAGAGGTGCACCAGTGTGTGATAAAACTCGTATGCAGAAACCTTGGACATGAAAGAAAAAACTTGAAATAGGTGGAGAACACGAAATGTGGCAGCCATTTGAGGATAAATTGTTGTCGCGGTGAAGAGGCTGGCTGTGGGCACCTGTGGAATAGTGAGCGGGCTAAAAGGCGAACCTCAAAAACCCACACACACACTCACACAACTACACAAACTACAATCACCCTTGTAAGTTCTAGGGGGAGCGATTATTTCTAATGCGATCCAACTATACTTCAATATCTCGAAGAGTTTCTCTTATTCTCAGCGCTCTTAGCGAAGCTAAGCTTTCTCTAATGAATTCCTAAGTCTAGGAACTTTTTACAGGAAGGTCGTTCACTGGCGCGACGCAACCTTCAAGGCAGATTTGAGTTATAATACACAAGGGACACTGATCCCAACAGAAACAGAGGCAATACACGCCGGAACTTTAGTGAGCTCGCTAAAAGAACACCACAGGCAAGCACTGACTTAGCCCGCTCGCTACACAACTGTATGTAGGGGTTCTCCAACTAACTCCAGCAGGTTATCTCGACTCAAGAACACTTCAGAAGTGCTTGGAAAACAGATTCAGAAACGGAACTTCGAACAGAACTGACACGGAACAGACTGAAACAGAACAGAACAGAACAGAACAGAACAGGACAGATCTCAGATTTCCACTTCAACATATTCTCTGAACAGACTTATCACACTTAACAGAACAGAAACAGCGTCACTGATTCGTATTCACTCTGACTAAGTTCTCAAAAGTCTTATCAAAAGGGTATCTCATATTTCTCTGAGTGAGCTCGCTAATTCTATGCACAGCTCGAAGTCACAAACTGATCCTTTGTTACAGTACCGCCTTCAACACATGCACGGGAACTCGGGGGCTCAAAACTTGGCCTCTACCTACTGTAACCAGTCTACTTATACTACAGGGGAATTAGAATTACAAATGTCGCACAGTACCCAGACTCCTACATGCATAGCATGTTGCCACCGCTGCCTTACTGAGCATCCGAGTCGGACTTCCCAGTTTTAGTCTCATTTCTATAGTGAGCTTGCTAAACACGTGCCAAGAGGTGCTCTCCTGACACCTGTGGGCTTGTTTTCTAGCGACTGACAGGTCTAGGCGCACAGAACTATCAGTTCTGGCGTATGTCGTTCAGGACTTCTTTCTTGGATTCACAGAGGCTTCTCGTAGACATGGCAACAAGTGAGTCTTCGAACAATGGGACTCAGAACAATGGAATGCGGGCTTGCGGACTTTGGCCGAAGCCCATTGCCCAAGCTCGTGCCGGTGATATCTGTCATCTCGCTTAAGGATTTCCCCAGATTTTCAGGTATGATGCGTCACAGTTAGCGAGCATGCTAAGTACTCTCAGTGTCACTGCAATCATCAAGGTTTTATCTAGCTCCTGCGAGTGTGCTTGTAAGTTAGAGCCTAAGGCATTGGGTATAGGGTTTGGCCTTCTCATCATGCATGCCCGTCAGGTACAGTGCTGTGACTAAGTCCTGTTTAGAATCCCATTGCTTCTTATGCCATAAGTTATATTCCATATCATTGCACCGCATAGCATTAGTGTCGACGTGTAGTTTTAGTCCGCTCGCTCACTATCTCTCAGTATGCATGTAAAACACTCTAGATTGCAAAATTACACATGTAAATAGGCTGCAGTCGCAACACCATCAATTCTGTAGGTCCCATCGGGGGTGTATGACGCGAGAGAGGTTGGAGCGTCATGCCACTCTGGCTCAGGAGATTCATCTCTTCGATGTCCTCCTGTGTCAGGTAAGTCTCATACTTCCCTTCGTTCCCAGGCAGGGAGGAACGGGTTTTCGCCCTCTTCGAAGGCGGTTCTTCGCCTGGTTCGTCCGTGGACGATTCAATCGAATACGTCGCGGTAGAACCCACTCATTCCCCTCTAGTAGAGGTGCTCTCTGTCATCGTCGAACCCTGGGATGGCTGCGGATAACTCTGTGGAGGTGATGGATGGCTCCTTGGAGTCATTGTTGTTGCCCCATGTCATGTCATCCCAGGATCCGTCCGCACTGGTCCAGTACTCGGCGGTAAATCTGGGATCGACTCGGTCGTCTCCATCGTCTGGAGGGATGCCGAGTCGTCCGAGCTCTTCTTCCTGAAGGGGTTCTTTGCCTTCACCATCTTGGTGATCCTCTCCCTGAAGCTCGAGCGAGGGGGGTTGCTCTTCTCTGTTGGGTAAGGGGTGTCGAAGTGCATCTCGCTCCCCCCTTGGCCGTGGTGTGAGGGACTGGAGCCAGACGGTGCTTGTTGTTCGTGAGGTTCCTGTTGATGAGCCATTGAGCCCGTGTACTCTCCCTCTTCCAGGGGTCGGTGCTCTTTGGCGTCGGGTTGGTCGGAGGATATGGAGAACTGCGACTGCAGTTACTAGTGTCAAGATACTGAAGGTACTTCTGAAGATAATGGCGGTGCAGTCTGAGGGGGTGAGCGGCATAAAGTTCGTTGTACCACAATGAGTGTTTATGATCTCGGGGGATGGTGGGTGCCATTTTCGAATAACGGGCTGGAGGTTTCTTTTTCTTTGGAAGTATAACAGTGACTGCCTTGAAACGGTACAGTTACCGTTGACAACGGTAAGGGTAGTAAGGGCAAGCTTTGGCTAATTGTTAAGCACTAACTCAAACCTTCGCCAAAGCTGGTCTCTATCCTGTCGCTTGCGTTCAGTGATTCAGTGTTAGAGAGGCATTGGTAGATTGTGAGAAGTTAGGTGTCACTTATAGCAAAAGCAAGGAGCTTGTAAGAGTTAGGAGTATATAACCTTAGCCGAAGCTGGGGTCCAAGGCCACAGTGTAGGCTAGCTTAAATACATGTTAGACTCGTACTAAGAATAGTGTCTACAAGGGCATGTGCAGCGAGAAGTGCATCGTTTAACGAATGCGGAGTGAGGACACTAAAAGAAGTGTACTCCCGACAAATGAGAGTAAAGAGCGCATATCACCTGCATCTGCATGGGACTCTGTCTGAATAGGCTGCATCCCATAGACCGCCCTCAACTGGCGGTTGACTCTCGTCCAACTGCTAAGAAGCATGATGGCGCATGCGGGTCGCTGGTCATCTGGGGGTGGCAGCGTGAACTGGGGTGATGGCAGCCGGGTAACCAGGTAAAGAGTGTGCCGGCAGAATATCATGGGTCCAAGAGATAAGATAGGTAGGTCTGGGGTTCCGATGGATAAGGATAAGATAAGATAAGGAAAATAGGGGTGAAACCGTAATAACACTGGAAGTGTGCAGACCTGGTGGAATGATTTTTTGCCATGCTACATTGTGCAGTTCCCAGACACGGTGCTGGATGAACGATCCTCAGGCAGTTGCTTGCACTGTTGGAGCATTGAGTCCCTGCAGCAGGTATGTGTATATTTTCTCTTCGCGGCATTCTTTGCTTACACTGTTGTGGCTAGCAACTGTCCCAGTGGATGGATACCCATGGATGCAGTGAGGCGAAGGTTGGGTATGCTTATGATAAGAGGGCCAACGTTACTCTCAGGACCATCCGTGAGGTCGCCAGTGCTTTCAGCGATGAACTCTCCGTTGGGCCAGAAACCGACAACACCGCCAAATCTGTGGAGGACGAGGTGGTTGACATGCTAGCGGTTGTTGATGCCAAGATTACGCAGCTCAGAGGTAAGCTGGTCAATAGTATGTCTGTCGATGAAACCACCAACGCCACTGCGTCAGGTTCCGACGATTCAGGGAGCACCGTATCCCCAGGCAAAGAGGCTTCCAACATGCTGGATGTTCTTGACGCCCAGATTGCGAAGTTGCAGGCAAGGCATGACCAGCTTGTGCAGGAGAGGGATGCTATCTGTGCCCATGCAATGAATCTTTGGATTGAGAGCGTCTATCAAGCGTACGGATGGTGATCTCATTCATATGTAGTGTATCATGCAGAATACGATATGTTTTTCCAGTTCTTTACACACACCAAGGTACCGAGCATGAGTAAAATGAGGTTGAAAATTATTTTAATAAAAATGCTCGTGTCCCAAGAAAAGTGAAAATGGGACAGGGTAGACAAAAATAGTTTCGAAAATGGTGTTTGAAGGGAGCACAACCCATTGAATAGTAAATGAAGGACAGGCATTGTGTATGAACGACCTGAGTTGTGCACAAGTAGGACTCAGGAATCCATGCTCTGAGATGGAAACAGAGTGAGAAGGACAGGCCTCATGTACGAACAGCCTGAGTTGTGCACAAGCTGGACTGATGGACTAGATCCATGACCCGATGCAGTCATCTGTGATGTGGACAAGGGAACCGAAGTTAATGTAGATCTGTCGCCTGACAAAGGAAGCCATGCCAAGAAGTCAAGAGTCTTACGAAAAAGGAAACTGAGTTTAATGTGAATTTGTCGCCTGATTAGAAGCTGAAAATCTTCCGAACCAGTCGAGGTGATGGAAGCATTTCGAAATGATGATCAGCATGCCAGACAATATTGTCTGATCTACCAGAGGAATAGATGTTGATAATATAGACTCGCTGCTGTACCTGAGGACCAGGAGAATAATAGGGGAAACCAGATGGTTTTCAGCGAGCTGCAGGATCTGAAATAGTGAAGTAGAAAATTGTATGCAACCATTGATTTTGCAAACTTTTTCCTTGCCTGGTTGCTAGGAAGGAATTGAGACTCAGCAAGAAAAAATATCTATGAACTTGAGCATAATACGGATCTCCGATTTAGATGCAAAAAGCTTGATTGAATTTAGTGGCGCAGTCACACCAAAAAGGAACAGGATGCAAACTGATATTGGAGGAGGGTGGCAGGTAGGGAACATTCAACAGAAGGACAGTAACTACAGCGACTATGGACTGGGTAAAAATATGTACAGAGCAAGGAAAAGGAAATATGGACACTGAGAAACTAAAAAAATTTACATGCCAATCAATTGAAAACTAGATAAAAGCAAGTAAAGACTGTCATCAAATGAGGGTGGAAGCTAATAAATACGACAAGGTATACGTCAAATGATTGACACAATACTACTGAAGACGGTGGTCCAAAAAATAGCAACAAAAGATTTGAAAACCCAATTAATGGAGAATTTCCACAGTGGCGGTCACGACAGCCTGATTGAAGGCCTCCTGGGTGGCAGCCTGACTGCTGTGACAGAAGTAACAGGCTCTACAAACCCCTGTAACCAAAGGGCTAACGTTTTGCCTGAATAACAATGCATGAGACCTTCGAACAGACATTGCAGGAAGGAAATAAGCTTACCATCCCTGAAACACCCCTATAGCGAGGCCTTTAGAAACAGCGTACCATGAGCCCTCAGAAGCTCTAACCGTAGAGGGGCCAGGAATGGAGGATCCCTGAATGGTGGGAGTGACGGTGGTGGGGTCAGCGGCGGTGGCGGGACTGGAGGCAGGTGCAGGAGCGACAGTAGCCTGGGCCATGGGTGCGGATACCAGAGAGGTCGACAGCAACCCAGTCAAGGGTGAGTCACGGCGGACTGGTGCTGAACCATGACAAGCTGGTTGGATGATGGTGGTGGCAACGGGAATGGCATTGATGGGGACTACGTTTGGAAAGGCACAGTTAAAGCAATAGAACGAGTGCAGGGGAACTTCTACCATGCTGGCAGCTTTTTTGTCATTGACGGGAGAATCAGGGTTGTGGGTAGTTGGTGTAGCTGACAGAATAAGAGGTCAGGGCAATAAATTAGAACCCAAAGAAAAAAATCTATACCTTCGGGTGGCATAATGCCAAGTGCAGCTAACACAGAAGCAAGCTGTTCTGGGGTGAATTGAGTCATTGAAAAAATTTCAAGTGAGTGGTGAGGCAATGAGTTTGATAGGTTTGATGATTGTGAAGGAAAAAACACGCTGTCCTTTATACTAGAGCAGATATTGTCCTTGTACACAATTCAGGGATCTGACAATGCATAAGTACACACCTTAGGACACTGCTCTGTCCACAAATCCCACCCATTTCTTCCCCCCACCACAGGTCAGTCGATTTTGATATCTTGCGTGTGTTATCAGTCGAGGCTATTTTTAGACTCATATCAGTTGAAAGTAGGCTGCCATGTGCTCTGTTGTCATATGTCTTGTTAATCCAGGGCGACAGATGTCCAAAAAAAGGTTGAAGAACTCTAAAGCCGCCGTTTCTTCCACTTCGTCTGTGACTTCGACCATCCCTGCCACCAGCTCCAGTCAGCTAGTACCTCTCTGCAAGCGAAGAGGATGGACAAATGACGACCAGTACGACATGCTATCCAATAGGATCCCTAGGTTTGAACTGTGTGCTGTGAATGGGACGTTGGCAGCATTCAAGGCTGAGTTAGTAGGAGAGTGGCAGGATTGGTGGCCAGAGAGGAAGGGGAAATTCTTCTTGGATCATAAAGGGAGGGTGCAAAAGGTTTCTGGTCATCTCATCAGCATCATGGACTCGCCAAAGGATGAGCCTTTTCCGAAAATGGTTGGTGATATCTTGACCCTGGGCCCAGACCATTGTCTTGACGGTTGCGATTTTGCGGATCCCAAGGATGAGGAGGATGATGGAAATGGGGAGGAGTCACTGCGGGAGCTGGACCCGGAGGTAGAGGAGGTTCACATCGCCTTGGGTGTGGCTCTTGAGGAACGTCGAACGGTGCGTCTTTACTTCTTTTATGTGGAAGACTTTAGCTGATATTTTCATTAGAAACTCTTTAACTGGTATGGTAACAACAAGCCCGGTTGTCGTATCAGGAAGCTAGGAGGCCTCTCGACTTTTGCACTCTCTACCACTCATGTTCTGCAACCGATTCATAAGTACTCCAACATGTACTACACCGAGCGCGTCCTCCCTCATGTTATCACTGAGGCTGAGTCTCGTGGTGTTCCCCACAATGAGCTCCTTCTTGTGAAGGAAATGATGGCACATGCTTGGGCTAACAAGTCGGAGGAGATTAAGAAGTCGGTTATGGATGCCATCGAGAAGGACAAGGAGTTGATTGCGGCAATGAAGGACGGCACATTAGACATTAATGTTTCAGATGCTGACAAGATAACGTCCATTTTTTCTATGTTTCTGTAAACGCTGGTACCAACTGTATGTCTCTACAGAATCATCGAAAGTCTTCAGTATGAGCTCGCATCTATCTTTGAGCATATCAACAAGTTTATTGGTTGGGGATTCATTGTGATAGCTGGAGGTTACGACCCATGGAGTGGCAGAGTTTGAACCACAGGGTAAGTGTTATAATATTTTTTGGCTGCTTCGTTCTGATTTTGAGCTTCGTCTAGACACAACTTTTGCTGTAAGGGCACTAATGGTAAGGACTTCATCAAATCATTCAACGAAAATGCTGCAGCTGGATACACCCCTGGCACAATTCCGGGTGACCGCTGCAGCTTTTCCGAGTACTACAGCATACCATTCATGCATCACATGAAAAAATTAAATTGTATGTTTCTTATTATCTATTCTTCCTCTTGTCATTCATAAGGTCTTGAAGGAGAAACTGTGGCTTCTGGCAAGACCACCAAAGAAACCCAGGTCGTTGTCCAGGCCCCTCTCAGCTTTGACCCTGTAGCCCTGTTCAAGGAACCACTTTCGTCTGTGCTATCAGAGCAGCTGTCTCTTCTCTCCGAAGCTGAGCAACCACTTCCAGATCAGAGCTCCGCCCCCTTGCCAGTTCCTAAGCAGCCGGTTCCAGCATCGCCTCCAGATCAGAACTGTGCCCCTTTGCCGGTTCAGATCAATAATGATCTCTCCCAGTTACTGCCACATCAAGAATCAGCTTCTCTGTCAGCTAATGCCCCGCTATTTTCCAAGGAACAGTCTCTCCTGCTGCCTCCAGTTCAAAACTCGAGCCCTCCCCCTTCAGGACTGCTTTCCCAGCCTTTCCCACAGATTCCAACATCGTCGATGTCCATCAGTATACCAACTGCTTCGTTTGCACGTTAGGACATCGCTGATAGTCTTCTATTGTCAGATCATCCTCTTGATGATGTATTTGGTGCACTGGACCAATCTTCGACTCAGTTTAACTTATCATTACCTGGAATGTATCCCTTCTCCAACAATTTGCCTTCTTTGTCAGATAGTCTCTCCTCCTCCCAGATGTTTGACGACTCGGAGCCATTTGACGACTCAGCTTTTGATGGGCTGGATTGGTTGGCCATGGATTGGACCACACTGTTTGGTAGTGAATTAGATGCTAGCAGAGTCATCTCCTCGAATCCAGCATCCCTGCCTGTGCTGCCTTCACCCTCTATTGATGGAGTTATCCCCACTTCGAACACTGTGCCCTCGCCCATGCTGCCTTCACCCTTGATAGATGAAGTTATCCCCACTTCGAACGCTGTGCCCTCACCCTCAAGCTTTAGCATCAACGTATCCAGTTTGATGGATGATCTCATAACTATGGCAACAGTCTCAGGAACAGTGGATTTGTCCAACATATCCTTCTCTTCTGTTCCCAAGCATGTAGCGATGAAAACGGTGGTTCCATCAAAGACGACTTCTACTACCTCCTCCATTTCCATGTCGACATCAATCCCAGACCCACTGCCAGATGTTTCCAACCTATCACATCTGTCTAGACAACGCAAGCACCCAGGCCCCAAGGAGGTGATGACTCTCTCTGTGACAGAGAAAGTGCATGGTCCACCCAGGTGGATTGCCAAGGCAAGGCTGCAGATGGAAGATGAATCTCTCGGCCCAGCGTGGGTGGATCTTCTTGATAAGTGGAGGCAGCTTGAGTGCGACATCTGGAGCTCAGATGTCGATCCTGTGGTATGGTTTCATTACGTTGGTCTATCATACATTAAGCTGACATAAAGTCTTTTTTTCTAGGGAAAGCTAATGGTATTGAGGCGATGCCTGCATGCCTGCATCCCCTTACTCTGTGGCTCAACAGTGCATGCTATTTTGATCTTCCACCAGTTGTCAAAGACTACTCTCAATTTGCGTCTGAGATGATCGATTGGTGGAACCAACTTAATCCTAGCTGGCGATGCTCGTTGACTGGTGCTGGTGGTCTACCAAGACCCGACTATACTAGCAAATCATTGCTGGCACTGCGAAAGGGAGGTCAGTACGGACTGGTGACCATTATCCTTGGCTTATATTGGTGGGCACATGGTCGTCAAAGCTTAGAGGATACTTGGCTGGGCATGGTCCATGATGTCACAAAGACTATTGACATCATTCTTCATCCAGAACGCAAACAGGGACAGAAGTGTCCAAGTGACGATGTCCAAGAGGGAAATGCAAAGCATGCAAAGGTTTGAACACTTTGGGCATTGTTTCTTGTGTGTGAATTGATGTTTACTCCTATCTTCTTGTTATGTGTTATCTGTATTGCTTTCCGCCGGTCTTTTGACTGTATATTGTTGTGTTGCATTCTCATGTATGATATGTTTATTTCCTGTAGATCATTCATTTGCGCTGTATATTGTTATTTTATTTACTATTGTATATTCCCGGCTTTTATTTTACATGATAGATTACTGGTAGATGGATGCACCTTTCACTGAAAAAAGTGTATACCCCCATACATATATATACTCAATGACAGTTTCTGTAATGCATGTCATATGCCATGTCACAGTCACAGGATTCCCTCTCTCTCAGTTCCTATGCAGTCATCCTTTATGCATGCTTCGGCTCTTTCGACTGTTTTTTTCGCATTCTTGATTCTTGGTGGTCACTGTGAAAAGAGCGGAAGAAAAAAAATGGAATGTTGCAGATGCTGTCTCCTAGTGAGTGTCCTGAGCATGCCACGTCACATTCGTATAACTCTTGTCCTTAGTGCAAGTTCCATCTGGACATTCTTATTTCATTCATGCCTGTATGCTTGTGCTAGTGGTATAAAGTTGAGCAAGTTGAAGACCATTCCTGACTATACAATTGTCGTCATCAGTTCATTCATACTTGCATGCTTGCGCATGCCAGAACCCGCTAGAATCCTGACCCCCAGTGTTGCTCACTGATTATCTGTGCATCGTTGCTCCCTGGATCTGAGACCATATAGGCTGCTCATGATAATGCACTACAGACTGACCACGTCTGCACAAAAAAACCATCTCTTATACGACATACTTGAATGGGTGAGTCCTTTTTTTCCCATTGCAATGATGACTCAAATGTTTATAAGGACATGCCATATGCTCCTGACATTCAACACATTCTACCCATACTACAAGACTCATCCACTGCCTACGCATCCTCGCGGACAGCACAAGTGTATGCACTGCATGGCAAAAAATTACCATTGTTGCCTCTCTCTAATGGCCTATAACTTGTTGTTCATAACAACACAAAAGGTATGTATCCCTTTGTTACATGGCTAAGCAACTTCCTGACACTGACTCACTCCAGGTGATTTACATGAATTGACGGATTTTTGTTCAGATTTTCCCAAGGTGCCGAGGTGCTGGCCGACTCTGGCATCTCGGCACATGCCGGAATACCGGTTGACACAAATTTTTTTCTTTATCTCCTGACTCAATCTTGATATGGTAGTCGGCACCCACGGTTGGTGTGGGCACTGCCACATTCCTTTTTCGGGTTTAGTGCCCATCGTCATGCTAGATGCTTGGCGCCTATGGCCATGACACATTGCGAAACCACCGTTTTGCTTCAAAAAAATCCAAAAAAATCTCGAAAAATCAGCAAAAAATTCGTACGTTGTCTGAGATTACATGATTTATGAACCTGAGGGACTTAGACATTTTTGGACATAGATTCCCCATACGAATGAACCTCGATGCCCTACGGAATGAGGAACCTCGATGTCCTCCTGCTAGTCTTCGACCTCGGTGTCTGAATCTCCTTCCGATTGCGATTCCAAGAACATCGCAAGTCCTCGCTGTTGTCTGAAAACTTGGTATGGGGACCTAGAGTCTCATTCACAGGTAAGATCTGCAAGAAATTAGTAGAAATTCGATGGAGCACGAACTGTTACGCACTCCTCTCCCCTCTAAAACGATTGATGATCCGTCTCATCATCGCAACAATGCTTCTATATCCCCTGTCAGTCTGCGTTCAGTCCTTGCCAGGGCCCAACAACTTACTGCCAGTGCTGCTTGATTTTGGACTTGAGAGACATTTTTGTGAGCTTGCTGTTGAACCCCAGTAAGCAAACACATCAAGAAACGGAAAAAGGTAACTTACTTGATAGGATGTCTTGAAGATATGCGTGTGTGAGGCTGTCTGGTGACTGAGGTGGTGGAAGAGGGCACTTGCATGATGCACGTGATTTTCTTGATGTTACTTCATTTGTCCTTATTTAGCATAGGTATCTACATGCTATATGCACTGTATTCTACTCGCTACATGTCAGAATGGCCTCTAAAAATCCTTGTCAAACACAGAAAAAATTCAGTCAGATATAAGTAAGTCTGTAGAAGTGGCTACTATGGAAATTTCCAGCTGACAGACCTGAAACAAGGTAGCGGGTGTTGCCACTTGCTGGCCTTACTTATTCAGTAGGCATATGCATACTCGCTCTCTCTTGTGCACAGCTCAGCATCAATGTATGTGTACCTCTCAGCTCATGATAGTACTATCCAGTCCTGTGCACAGATCAGGAATGGTGCATGTACCTATGCCTACCTCGTTCTCTCTTGTGCACCAGTAAGGAGGGGACAGTATGTACAGGCGCCTGCTATGTGCAGTGAAGAATTATTCTATCAAGAGTTGAACCTACAATCTCCTTGTTTACAATGTTTTGTTGACTGTAATTGGTGATCATTCTCCCTCATTTGCCTGATAATTCCTGACACCCATCAGATGTAATTCAACACAGCAGCCAATGTTGATTGAAGCTTTTGAAGTGGTAAAAATGATGCAAAGCAAGGCTTGAAGCATGGCGAATTGAAATAAAATGGAGTTTATGGAACAACAAAAAGTAGACATGGAAGACAGAGCATACCAATGACATATGCCAAAAGTGGAGATGCAAGAATAGGTGTGCCTGACAAATGCCATCATCATTGTTCAACTTCCTGTCTCTAGTACTGATCACCTAATCTTGATAGACGATGACAGATAATCTCAATATGAAATCCAAACTAGGCAGGGGTTGGGGAGGCTTGATTTTGTCATCAAGCGCAGCGTCAAAGGGACTTAGCTCGTCAAAGGTGACAATGAGCTCGACTGCTCCCAGGATCACACACCAGGTAGTCACAAGAGGCATCACAAGTTGATTACACCACCACAAGAACGTGCACGGCACCATTTACTGACCTGTACACACAAATAGCTCCCCTGTAGTTACAGGGATTTGTGTACAAGATGGACAGGAAAGGTTGTTTCTGATATGATAAAACAGTGGACTGTAATAGAGTGGCATGAGCGCCACGATGTGTTTGATATTGCGCCACCGACATAACTGAGAGATCTACAAAGGGCATTATATGCAATCAGGCACTGATCATACGATAAGCAAAAATCCGAACTTACTTACCAAATGACTACTGCAACTGAGCAGTCAAGAGTCGGCATGTCATATACAGAATATAGTGAGAATAGATAGACGGTGAGGTATCCAGAGAACTTGCCTTGAATTGCCAGGGCCTATGAAGGATCTTGCATCAAGCTGGATGGTCTCCGACCTTAACCCCGAGGCTGAGCCAATCTTATTGATATTCCCCAGAGATATGGCTTGCACACCAAATGGCTTCTCGTCATGCTCTCGAGGAACACCCCAACTAATGCGGTCACCCAAAGTGTCGACAACCACAGGGTCGGAGAGTAATGGATTGAGTCGTCCTTGGTACTGCTGGCAGCTCGAGCAGATTATCCTAGAGCCACCTGGCACCACATACGAGCATGTGCAATCCTTGCGATGGAAGTTTTTCCCACAAAAAGAGCAGATAGCTATGACACGCATGAGAGTAGGCAGGAGAAGAGAGATGGTGCAAGTACCTGAGCATTGGGCATGTAGAATTCTGGTTTGTGCATGCATACATGTGTTTGTGCTTGCAATGCCTTGTCACGCTTGCATGTGCATATACGAACTTGACAGAGATGCGTTGGCATTGAACAATGCTTCTATGTACTTTAGTAATAAAACAGAAGGAATGTAGCATTCAAACGTACTTGTATCAAAATTTCAACATCATACTAGTTGGGAGTGTGCGATCGCATTCAGGTGGCACTACTCCTGTGTGTTTATTTTCCAATACAGATGCTAGCAAAGCCTGTGTTATTGACGTCAAATGGCCATTCCCTCGTTCTTCAGAGGATGGGACCATGCAGTAGAAGTATTTGTAGTACTCATTTGCGTACTCGGCGTGGTGTGTGGAATTGGACTAGAAGGACAGGCGAAAACCAAGGTTTTCCAGGCCAGCCAGGAAAACCAGGACATAAAAACGATGATGAATGCATGCCACTCTGACGTTGTGATGACTCTGTTTTCAAGTGAATAATGGCAGCAGTACACTAGTGAATTCATTTCAATTCGTTCTGCAGGCAAAACTTCATGAAAAGCCGAGCACATACTGCTGTATCCTTGTACAAGCTAGGCTTATGCAATGCATCTGCGTGGATGGCAGAGACCTGCTTTTTTGATCAAGTGGTTCTTGACAACCCGATGAAACTAGGAAGACCGCCGAATTCCAACAACATAGCGCATCCTTATTGCAAGTTCTTATATGACCTTGCTTTATTACGACCTTGTTCATGTCCGAATATCCCAATATCCTGCTAAGGTGGTCATTAGATCAGATAGATATGATGCAAGACAACATGAAATGATAAAATGCGGCCCACAAGTTTTTGAATCGAACTGAAAATTAAATTTCTAAGCAGAGTAGAAGTAAAAGCTAAGTGCACAGATTAATTCTCATGGTTATCCGGGAAAACATTCCACTTAGATGCTCTGGAATGTCTAGCGTGCACAGACGTGTCAGAGATGGGAAGAAAAAATCCGCATGAACACGGAATTCATACGTCATTATGCAGCCTCTGAGGTCCAGAAAGAGTCTGGATGTCACATAGCTTTCTGTTGACAGGGTTGAGGAGCCAGATTGAATCATCTTGAAGACCCTGTGATGTTGAGGCCAGTGCCTGTAGGTACCTTCACAGGGGGAAGATATTCTTCCATATTGCATTTTTTGAGCTAAAATTCCTTTGCTATTGTTCACAAGAGAGAAAATGTGTTTCTTTGACAAGCAAACCTATGAGTCTGCAATGTTTAGCATTGCCAAAGTGTGAACTAAAGACATGTACCAGTGTTGCACATCCAGTACAGGTACGTTTTCAATAGAATACCTACGTCATGTGG